GAAGCACAATATTTGTTAAGAACTAAATATGTGTAAATATTTCTAAATGAAGTTTGCTACAGATCCTCTGACCAAAACATATACAAATATATATAAACACACACACACCAGGATCATAATATTTATTTTAACAATAATTAGAATAATAATGCAACAATGTCCAATATTGTAAATCATATTGTAATTCCAGTTGATTTCTTTTGCAAACAACGATATTTTTACAAGTTTTGCAGCCCTAGTTTTAGCTAGTTTAAAAGGTCTCATGTCATGGCCATTTCTACTGATCATAATTCCATTGTTGAGGTCTACTAGAATAAATGTACATTGTGCAATGTTCCAAACTCACATTGGTTTCTCATACAGCATCTCTGTATAGTATGTGTATTCNAAGCCTAATTTATGCTTTTGTAGCAACACCTGTGTCATATGTGGCAGCACTGTTCAATGTTTCTTGAAAACATTACCCACTGTAGTATGTGACGTGTGAATAAACTCCAACTCTGTATCAACAACACTGTTGTGTAACTTCAGTTAAATACGTGTATGTGTGTAGATTAGAAAGAGGTAAGATAAAGGATCTGCAGTATTTTATGAAGTATTCATCGTACAAAGGTCAGTTTTATACAAGTAGAAGTGTGTATTTACCTGGTAGTAGGCTGTCAGTAATGGCTACGCCTCTCTATTTGGACTGGTAGATCTCGGCAGACTGGCAACTTTAAAAGTAGCTCTCGGTTCAAAAAAGGTTGGGCACCCCTGCCTTAGATGCATAAGTGGGTATTTTTGGACCTGGTGAGGTGGTTTTCTTAGAGTATCTTTGTAATTACATTTTTTTGTATCATTTCATTTTCCAGCTATTCCTCAAAAAACATGTTTTGGATATCATGCCATTCAAATTTTAAAATGTACATTTTAAGAAATTGTAGCTTTTGCGTTACTACCCCAAGCTTCCATAAGTGGGTCAAAAATGCATTTTCTATGGAATTTCATTTTTTTTCCAAAATGTAATTTTTTTTTTTTTTAAATTATAAATAGTGAAATATAAAATATTTCTAGTGTGAATCAAAATATAATACTAAATATTATACATGTGATTTTTTTCTTAATCAAAATGGCATAAAAACACATTCTAATACGGGTCCTTGTTGACCCACTTATGGAAGAGTGTAATCCAGTCACTCGTGCATCCAAGGGTTAACACAGCAATTATATCTCCAACAGTAGCTATGGCAGAGGATCCCCGGTATAACCAACAGAGAGTCAGGATGTGTCGGTGAGATGAGAGTAAAAACAGGAACGAAGGAGTGGAACTAAAAAAAACACAGAGGCAGTTTCACACAGGAGCTTCAAAAGCACTGAAAGATGAACGAAACCTTAAAATAAAGAACACCTCCCTCTCTATAGCGGCCTGAATGACCTCACATGTTACTCAATAAAGTGCATTGACATGTGGTTGAGGGCAGAGACCATCATGGCTTGTGGCCACATCGGAAAAAGGGTCATAGCATTTATCCTCTGCCGGGAGGGAAGTACATTATGGTCGAGGCTTGGCACGGAACAGTGTGCTAAAGCTGGAAATGACTCCATGATGTCTAACTAGGTTAAACCTTTCTCATTCGTTTTCTCCTAATTACAAATGTTAAAACATGTGCCTTCAGATTCACACGACTGAGCACTAACATCCCTGCAGTGTGGTGAAGCCTCACCTGGATGTAGTCTACGGGGTTCTTCCCCTCTCCCTCCTCTGACACGAGAGCCTTTCCTTGCTCCCGGAGGTACGAGCTCATGCACTCACACATGGTCTTCAGCCCATTGGGGACCCGGCTGAACAGCTTGTACATGCACGCCAAATCTGTGGTGGATATGCACAAATGAACACACAAGCACACATGTTAGAAATCCAATCCTACCAACTGGAAAAGAGCTGAGAAGGAGGCATATTCGAGCAGAGTGAATTAGAATACCTCTGAGAGTACTGACAAAATATGATCTAAAAAAGGCACCACTTCCAGTTTCCTCTGAATTTAGATCATTACAATTACATTTATCATATCTTATCAAATCTGACATGAGCAAAGAGACATTGCAACTTCATTACTGATCTAGTGAATTATATCTATATCTCTTACACCAACATCTTACCAAAGAGCATTGCGTTTCCGTTCTTTGAGTGACACATCAAATAACTGAGTAATTAACTACATTTGAATTTAAATAAATGACTAACCACCAATGCTTAACACATGAAGCTTGAGCACACCAGGGCAGCTGCTCTCTTACCGTCGGTCTTGCCGTTTTTGAGCATGTGCACCAGGCCAGAGTTCTCCATCTCTACGATTGTCTTCATGTGTTTGGAGATGAGCTCCCGCTCCACCACCTTGACAATGGGCTCTTCCGTGGATTTATCCAGGCAGTGCATCACCCGCTCAATCTCCTCATTGATTCTGGCTTCCACTTTCTTAATGTACACACTGGCACTGTTTTCTGCCAGGAACTTTTGGCTCTCCATCTAAAAAAAAAAACAACAAACACATTTCTCTCAAACTTTTTTGCACTGCTTCACAATTGTAGCTATTTGTCATTCAGTAAATACTGGAAGGCTGTTTTGAGAATCTTCTGTAGATTCACTGTTTGGGTAATTGGCATCATCCAAATAAAAAGAGAAACAATGAACAGTCAGGGGAATGGCGTTGGCCCACAAACCTGGAAGAATTCTGCAGACATTTCTAAAAACGGTGCCTCAAAGTCTTCTTCATAAACAGATCTCCCCTCGAGGCCGAGGATCATTAACATTTGGCAGGCGTTTCTAATGGCCCCCCTGGGGAAGAGGAGACACAGAGAGAGTGTTGAAGGCACAATCAGAATCAAAAAGGGAGAAGAAAAACAAACACAAATTCTGAAAGCTCATTTCACACTAATTATGGCTGTCAACCCACTTTTGATCATCTGTTTCATTAAAAACACACACAGACAAACCCACAGCAGCACATCAGGCTCAGAACATGTCTTATAAAGCTAGGGGCTTTTTCCTATGAACATCACAGTATCCTACAGCTGTTTCTTTGTATACGCTTTGATGAATCAACAACTTCCCAAATTAAATAAGAAGGATGTGGGTTACATCTTCATCCCACTTTATAAACAACTGAAATGAAATAAGTTGTCAATCAATCCAGTGTGTGTTTGGCTACCTGTCCACCACCTCCCCTTTCCTCTCGCGTGCGATCATGTCCAGCAGCGTCTGTCGGAGGTGGTCTCTGATGCAGCCATACCGGACCACCTGATCCCTGAAGATGATAAGACCCAGGTTGTAGACGTTCTCCACATTGTTCTGCTGTACGTACACCCGATCCTGAGAGACAAACACACAGAGAGGAAATGTAAAGGAAGACACCCAAAAGGCATTAAGGAAGCATTGAGATCTAATCCCTCAAACCAAGTGATATGCACACTCAGGGCACGAGTACGCGCAGAAACAGATCACAAAAAGAAAGAGTTGATTGACGGCGGTTACATTACCTTCAAAACTATCCCAGACCGTGCACCTTATCGCTGCACACCTCCGAGAGCGCTCCGCGGTTATACAGGTTTACATTTCTGAATAGTAAGTGTCAATCAAATATCAATCTGCATGTCTTGATACTATCATTCGTTATAAAGCCTTCTGTATCGATTGGCGTCACGCTCAATAAGAAACTATTTTCACATTCGTCCGGTAAATCACATTGACCAGCACGACTATTTTCTAAAGGAAATGCTGCTTTTAGGTGGTTCATTGTTTTGATCTTTTACCCTTTAAAGTGTGTTGAAGCTGAAAGGTTGTGATCAGCTGCTCATGTGCAGCATGTTTGTGTGGTTCAGTGAATTGCAGTCTTACTTTAGACTTCATATTTCTCACTTAGGTATTGACAAAACAAATGGAATAATATCTAAAGCAGGCCTGATGTTATTCATTCTTGAGTGACAGTTCATCTAGAATGACACATTATTTGTAATTACATACATGCTTCTGTGTTTATATAATTACAAATATGACACAGTCTGTGTTGTTTCTGCACAATTTCCAATCCCACCACACATACTTCAGTCCTGCAGAGACCTGTAGCCTGAAGGGGAGGCGGGCGTCTTCAGACTACAGGTTAGTCATGTCTTAGTTACTGCCTGTCAATTTGTCATGGACGCTGAATCCATTAGATCAGGGGTTTTCAAAGTGTGGGTAGGTGAGCCTCCCCTCAGAGAACATAAGAACAGCCGCGCCCCCCCTCCCAATTATTATTGCTGTTATTATTATTATTATTATTATTATTGTTGTTGTTGCTATAATGCAGGGGTATTCAATTGCATTTCAAAGAGGTCCAGTAAGAGAAAATGTAATTAAATGCTCTGTTTTCGCTGTCTACCTTCTGCCATTTGAAATTACTCCGACTGTTTCTCTCCTCTTGTCGTGTCTCTGTGTGTGTTTGAATCTATCGTGCTGACNAAGGGATATAAGGGATATATGCACTGTACTTCACTTGTATTAATATTGTATGCTGAAAAGCGTATATATATATTACATCACGTTTTTTTGTTGAATAGATTTGAGTGCTTCAAAATGTTGGGTCGCGATGTATTGACCAAGTAAAAAGTGGGTCCCAAGGCCTGACCAGTTGAGAACCACTGATTTACACTTTTCTTAAACTGTGCTATCA